GCACGTTGTCTTGAGTCGTTATTACACATGACGGGGGGACCACGCGGGATCTGGGGACTCCGCATGTCCACGCAATACTAATTTCTGTGTACTAAAATGTTTATGTGTTTATTTAAATGGGTAGGTTCCACCCCTTTCGCTATGTAACTCAAATTGCCCTCCTGGTTCCAGGAAGGAAAAGAAGGAGGAGGAGCCATTCTGCTGCTATGATTGTGTTCCATGTCCTCAAGGCAAGATTGCATCACAGAAAGGTAGGGAAAACAATATATACATGGTACTTTTGGAATGTATAAAGGAGACACGTGTGATATTTTTATTTTAACCTCAAGAGTTTCACGCTGGTAACATTTGTAGTAGCTATCCAGAACATCTGAAATCTGAATATATTATTTTCTCTCCAGATATGGATGACTGTGTTGCGTGCCCTGAAGATCACTATCCACACAGAAACCAATCACAATGCATTCCAAAGACCATCAGCTTCCTGTCTGTGAAAGAACCTCTGGGGATGAGCTTAGCATTGTTTGCTCTTTCTCTCTCTCTCCTCACAGTGGTGGTCCTAGTCATCTTCATTAAACATCAGGACACACCCATTGTCAGAGCAAACAATCGGGACCTCACCTACACTCTCCTCACTTTCCTCCTGCTCTGCTTCCTCTGCCCATTGATCTTCCTCAGCCCTCCAGAAAGAGTGAGCTGCCTGCTCCGACAAATGGCTTTTGGCCTTGTTTTCACAGTGACCGTTTCTTGTGTTCTGGCCAAAACGATCACGGTGGTTCTGGCCTTTGTGGCCACCAAACCAGGATCCAGAGTGAGGAAGTGGGTGGGGAAAAGACTGGCAAGCTCTATTGTGTTTTCTTGTTCCCTTATCCAAGTGGGCATTTGCACTGTGTGGTTAGGAACCTCTCCCCCATTCCCTGATTCTGACATGCACTCTGTGATGAGGGAAATTATTCTAGGCTGCAACGAAGGGTCAGTCGCCCTGTTTTACTGTGTCCTGGGCTACATGGGCTTTTTGGCCATTTTCAGCTTTGTTGTGGCCTTTTTTGCCAGGAAACTGCCTGACAGCTTTAATGAGGCCAAATTCATCACCTTCAGCATGTTGTTGTTTTGTAGTGTTTGGATCTCCTTTGTTCCAGTGTACCTGAGCACCAAGGGGAAATACATGGTGGCTGTGGAGATCTTCTCCATCTTGGCCTCCAGTGCTGGCTTACTGGGCTCCATCTTTGCTCCCAAATGCTACATCATTGTGTTGAGGCCTGATCTGAACTGCAAGGAGAAGTTAATAAAGAAGAAGTAACAAATTAACCTATCATCTCTGTTTATTTGTTCTATCAGAATATGATCAAATTAATCTCGTTTTTTTCTACATTGTATAACTATGTTGTATCTTATCTGTTATAATTCCTATGTGCAATTCCCTTAAAAATCCTCTGTGGTCTCTCTGACACAGGGATTCCCAATGCTTTTTTGACCTTATGGTGCATTTGAAAAACTAAGAAGCTGGCAGAGATATTTCAACTGTTTTTTGCTAGCTAAGGAAGTTGCAGGCATTCAGACCCATGCTTAATCAATTGCGAATGTTTGAGGCTTCCTCAAGAGTTCGTGCATCTTCTGTTTATTCTCACTACCTATTTAAAGCAGTGGGAGTCATTATAGTGACCCAGAGGGCCTTTAAGTAACTTTGACACCCCGGCAATGTGCTGTCTGAAATGTATAAGATATTATTGGACTTCAAAACAAAGTATGAACAAGTAAAATCTTCAGTGATACATTGGGCAATAGATATTGGTCATAATATAGATATGGAAGCATGGGAACGATTGTGGAATATGGATATAAAATTTACAGCATGTTACGGTCTAAGTGAAGATTATATGAAAATGATATATTTATGGTATCTAACATTGAGTAAATTGGCAAAATGTATAATTCTAAATCAAATAAGTGTTGGAAATGTAAAGAGAAGGAAGGTACTTTTTAACATATGTGGGGGGGTCTTACTGGGAAATGATATATAAAGAATTGAAAAGGATGTTTAAAATAACATTTGTAAAAAAACAAAAACAAAAACAGAAACTTTTCTTTTGGGAATTATAGGGACAGAACTTATTCATGTATGGGATTACAGCGGCAAGAATGTTACTTGCCCAAAAATGGAAAGAAGGAGAAGTCCCAGCAAAGGAAGAAGGTCTTGTTTTAAAGATTTAAAAGCCTATACTTCCATGTTTACTTAAATGGATATTTTGTGATTTAAAATCTCTGCTGGGATTCTCTCATCAAAGAGTATTTACTTGCCCCAAACCTGGATCCTGGCATCTAGAGAATTCTCATTTAATACCTATTCTTCTTTGTCACCAACACAAACCACCTGCAAAACTCAGTCCCTTTCAACATTCTTTTGCCTGTCTTGGTAGGATTCTCAGTAAATTAATGACCAGATGTTTGAGTGGGAAATTTTAGGAGGTCTGATAAATTATCCCACTGGTCAGCATTAATAACAGACCCACTCTTATGTTCTTTCTCATTGGTTAATACAACATGTACTTTTGTTGGCCCAAAGATGGACAGAACAGAACATTACGAGCAGGTTTTCGTGCCATCTGTTTGATGTACCTGATGTGAAGAGCCCTAGTTATTATCTCATCTGTAATTACCACTCTTGTCATTATCCCTTGGATAATGTCTCAATAGATTTCCAGAGAATGCCAGCCAAAGTCTAAATATAGGTATAAAAAACCCCTTCCTGCCAATCTAGGTAAGGGAGAGGGCAGAGGAAGAGGAAGGATTTCTGCTTTTCTCTTTGTCAGGTTGCAACAAAGGATTTTAATCTGTGAATTGGTCAGGCAGAATATTGTACTGAGCGTGGTTCTGAAGCTAAGGTTTATTTTCTAGATGGAACTGAGGGTGTGTGATCAGGAAGAATATTTGCCTCAGTATGTTGCTGTTTATTGTGCCCCTTCTCTTTCATCTGCCACATATGGTGTGCAAACATACACGTTGCACCATCCATGATTGGTCCAGAATTCCACATGAATACTACCAACCTGGTGATCTTATTCTTGGAGGACTTGCTTCCCACCTGCTTACTGCTTCTGACAAAGAAGACTTCAAGGAAAGGCTAACGACCAGTCAACTTCTTAATACCTTGTAAAGACTTTATATGACACGTAATCAGATGTCACAAAAACATCCCCCAGCTCTGACCAGGCTTACTCAGAAACAAGTTCCACTGATTTCACTGGATTTACTTCCAGGCAGAGGTGGGGGTGGATGGGGAAATTGTTGCAAAGCTGAAGAGTTGGCTTGGGAAGGGGGAGGTGGAGACCCTAAATCTATGCTTTGTTAGGCAGCAACCCTAAGCAGGGGCGTAGGAAGGGGGGCAGGGGGTGGGTTGCCCCAGGTTCCATCACGGAGGAAGGTGTCAAAAAGGAACAATAACTGCCCTACTAGGATGGTTCATAAAAAACTTTTTTTAAAAAAAGATGCCTGCTCCAAAGGTCTTATCTTACTACACTAGGAGTTATATAGCTATATCTGAAATTTCATGCATATCAGTTAATATCTTGACCCTCCTCCACGTAAATAACTGTTTCCTTGGCCATTTTCATATGTCGTGAAGGCTGAAATTTCAATTCAGTGGAGCCAAAACACAATCCATCCTGTAGATTTAAGGATCTGTCCACAGTCGCCTCCTTGTTATCAGAGGCCCATAATCCACATTCCTTTGTAAGAAAATATGAAATAACGTAAAACTATTTTTTCAGGCCAAAAAAAAAAAATCAATGTGTGGGAGGGTGGTGACAAGAAATTTTCTGCACCTTAACTTTGTGCTCTTAATGTGGTGTAGGGCTATTTGGTGATGGCTTCATGGTGAGAGGGGAAGAGAAGAAGGGGGGAAAGAGACAATTGCATCTAATATTTGTAGACAGGGCCTGGTTCAGTTACATTCACTCCAATTGGCCCGGGCAACAAATGGAGGTTCTGTGAAGAAATGGCAGTTAACTGTCAGTTGTGAGAAGGAACATGTGGCAAAGACCAGAGAAAGCTGAGGTGAAAGTAAACAGATAAGGCTATTTATCCTCAGTGTGCTGATAATATTTTGAGGTGAGCATCAGAACAAATGAGCTGGTGGAAATTTCAGGTTAGGAAGCAGATTTCTTAAACCAATTCAACTGTCCAACCAGCCAGAAATACAATTGGAGGGTTAAGTGGCAATTTGTATCTAGCAGTTGTTTAACCAATCTGTGAGTGAATTGGGCAGGAGTGGAGGTTTAGGGAGTCTGGTCAGAGGATGGTGTCAGCAACAGCATCACTTGAATCTCGTTCAGGTACATGTAGGACCCCTAAGTAAATGTATGTACAGTGGTACCTCAGGTTAAGTACTTAATTCATTCCAGAGATCCGTTCTTAACCTGAAACTGTTCTTAACCTGAAGCACCACTTTAGCTAATGGGGCCTCCTGCTGCTGCTGCGTCGCCGGGGCCCGATTTCTGTTCTCATCCTGAAGCAAAGTTCTTAACCTGAGGTACTATTTCTGGGTTAGCAGAGTCTGTAACCTGAAGCGTATGTAACCTGAAGCGTACATAACCCGAGGTACCACTGTATTTCCTTATTAGAGGGGGGGGGGATTCAAATCAGTTCACATTTAAATGTGAACCTACCAGATTTCTCATGCTCTAAAAAGATGTTGAAATCAAAAGAGAGCCATCATTTGAAATTCACCCTTCTCCAAATTTTAGTGTACTTCTCCAGCCAAACAATGTATACAAAAATGTGTATCCTGGGGTAAAATGACCCCAAAATGCATGTATTAGTGAAAGTGTTATGCAAGTGGAATACAATGCATTCTTTTAACAGAACTTGTTTTACAGATATTTGTATATTAGGGCACAATTTGCACTGACATGCCGAAGAATCATCATGTGGCCCTTAAAAAATGTATAGCACACATTTGATACAATTGCATACAGTGATACAGCATAAAATTCTCTGTGCAGTGTGTTGCCAAAGAACTACCAGCATATCCTGGCCTTGGTGTTTGCTGTCAAGGAGATCAATGAGAACCCCAAGATCTTACCTAATATTACATTGGGATTCCACATCTATGACAGTTACTTCAATGAAAGGATGACCTACGCGGCTACTCTGAACCTCCCATCCACACTTGTACCCAACTACAAGTGTGACACTCAGAAACTTCAGATGGCAGTTATTGGAGGACTTGACTTTGAAAGCTCCCTCCTAATGGCAAACATCTTGAGCATCTACAAGATCCCCCAGGTAAGATCTCCCACTGGAGACTTCTCACTCATTCACCATGATCTTTTCTATCCAGAAAGGTTTTGTATAGTAAAAAATAGTTGTGACTGACAAAGGAGAGTGATCCTGCCCTCCACAAAAAGTGTTTCCAGTGTGCCTCACACAATTAAATAATATGTTTAGCATAAAGCTGTCAGATAGTATTCCCCCCCTCATATATAATTTTTAATAAGTTTTACAATTTTATATTCAACACAATAATCAATGCTACAAAAAGGAACATATGGATTCCCATCTCCCTCACCCTTCTCCCATGACTTCCCTCAATTTCTTCTTCTGGTTCTTTAAATATGTCCTTATCCTGCCTGTCTTCTTCTACCTTGATTTTGTAATCTTTTAATTAAATATTGTTATTTTCTTATCGTTTTGTATCATGCTTTTTCCAGTTACCATATTTTTCGCCCTATAGAACGCACTTCTCCCCCTCCAAAAACGAAGGGGAAATGTGTGTGCGTCCTATGAGGCGAATGCAGGCTTTTGCACCGACCCCTCTCGCTCTCCAGGCTTCAGGAGAGCCCCAGCCCCGCAAGCTCAGGGGACAGCGGGGAGGCGCAGCGCGCCCAGGCTTAGCTTTGCGCAGCTCTCGGCAAGCCGTGGGAGCCCGGCACTGGGCTCCCATGCTTGTGGAGAGCTGCATGTTCTGGGGGTTGGGGTTGGGGGAAGCTCGGGCTTCCCCCGCCCCAGCCCCATGCCTGGGGGGGGGGATAATTTTGTTCCCCTTTATTCCCCCCCCAAAAAAATTAGGTGCGTCCTATGAGCCGGTGCATCCTATAGGGCGAAAAATACGGTACCTCTTACACTTTGCTATTTTCCCATTATTACGTCTTCATTTTTATGCTTGTTTTCCTAGTTGTAAGTGTTTACTCAAACCCTGCTAATGAGTCCACTTCTTTACAATGTTTCTGTAAATACAACATAAATGGTTCCCAGTCCTTTTTAAAGTGTCTATTCTCCTTGTCTCTTAGTTTCCCAGTTAGCTTCACCATTTCAGCATATTCCATCAGTTTTTGTTGCCATTCTTCTTCTGTTGGTATCTTGTCATCTTTCCATCTTTGCGCTAGTAGCATCCTAGCCACTGCTGTAGCATACATAAATAATTTCTTCCACTCTTTTGGCAAGTCTTGGCCTGTAATGCCTAACAAAAACGCTTCTGGTCTTTTAACAAAGGTTGTCTTAAACGTTTTTTTCTTTTCATTATAAATCATTTCCCAATAACTTTTGATTATTTTACAGTTCTACCACATGTGATAAAACGTGCCTTCACCTGTCATATAGTATTGACCCTTCAGCAACATTTAAACATGTTTGCTGTAGGTAAGCATTCCTCATCCCCTTTCTTAAGCCTTTTCTCTCTGCTGGGTGTCTGAGCAGTGTATGCTACATGCCTCCCCTGACTCCTCTAGTTAGTCTGGTGTCTCAAGCGCAGTGGATGATGTGATCCTATTTGTTGCATTGAAGTAAGATTCAGTAGCAGCAGGAATGTCTGGTGGAACCTTTCTGCAACCCACTGCGAATTGGGGTGCATACCTGAAAATATTAGAAGGAAACCCAGATTGCAATCCAGAATCTTGTGATGAGCTTCTGCTCCTGTTTATTCTGGCAAGTCATCACACTACTGGAAGGATTAGTAGAGCACCTGCAGTGAATGTAGAAGGTCAGTCCGTGGCATCTTTGATTAGGTCTCCTACCACGCCACATAATCAGTGGCGAGCTAGATGGATCAATGGTCTGACACAGCAGTAGGCAACTTCCTGTGTTCATCTGAGGCATTTAGCTGTGGGATGCTTTAATTCACAGCAGTAGCAGTAGCAGGAGGGGGTAGCAGTCATAGTTGAGACAGCACTATGCACTAAGTGCCTGAGCTAGAATTCATCTCAGGATGCTTCCAGGCTGTTACTATGTTTGAATAAGATTCAGTCACATACCAGCAAATTCAGGTTATGCAGTTAAAGGTGATCTGGAGGTTTTGTGAGCAACCCCCCCCCCCAAGTGATGCCAACTTGAAAAAATATGGGGGGGCAGGCAAGACCCCTCCTGCAAAATGACACAGTGCGCACACACCATTTGAATGGTAATGCCCATCACCTGTGGGAGGGGAGGGCAGCCCCCTCAAATGTTTTATTGGGGAGTCCAAGGGACCTCAGGCCCAAGGCGTTGGCCCCTATAGTGTGGCATAACATTTGCTTGATGCCGCGTTGTTCAACCACCTCCTGCATTTCTGTGGGTTCAACTAGATGACCCTTGTGTTCCCTTCCAACTCGACAATTCTAGGATTCTTTGAAACTGCCCCACACATTGTGGCCCTTGAGCGGGACTCTGTGGGTTAGGGATTTGACAAAGGTAGGGAAGGGAAATTAAGACACCATGAAATGAGAAGGTGAAATGCTGTGGTGAAGCTAAGGTAAAGGTAAAGGTACCCCTGCCCGTACGTGCCAGTCTTGCCAGACTCTAGGGTTGTGCGCTCATCTCACTCTATAGGCTGGGAGCCAGCGCTGTCCGGAGACACTTCCGGGTCACGTGGCCAGCGTGACAAGCTGCATCTGGTGAGCCAGCGCAGCACACACGGAACGCCGTTTACCTTCCCGCTAGTAAGCGGTCCCTATTTATCTACTTGCACCCGGGGGTGCTTTCGAACTGCTAGGTTGGCAGGCGCTGGGACCGAGCAACGGGAGCGCACCCCGCTGCGGGGATTCGAACCGCCGACCTTTCGATCAGCAAGTCCTAGGCGCTGAGGCTTTTACCCACAGCGCCACCCACGTCCCATAGTGGTGAAGCTAGGGTGCAGGAAAGTAGCAGTGCAGGAAAACAAGGAGAACAAACTGGAAAGGGAAAGGGAGTAGGTGGGAGAGGAAAGCAGGACTGCACGGAAACAAAGAGAAGGAACTGGAGAAGGAAAAATGAGGTGGGGAGAGGAGAGGGAAAGAGGGTATGCAAGGAGGCAGAGGCTGACAAGCACTCCATGCAGAAAAGATCTGCCACCCTCCCAGTTTTCCAGCGCCTTCTTTCCTGGGGCAACTGTCTCAACCCACCTTATTAGGCAGGATGCACATGCCCAATCAATTTATGGATTATGCCCCTTTATTTCCTTTTAGCTCACTTATGGCTCTTTTGCCCCAGAGGATGCTGGTCAAAGCCAATCTACCTCCTTCTACAAGATGGTGCCCAATGAAGCCCATCAGTACACTGGGATCGTTGAGTTACTTCTGCACTTTGGTTGGACGTGGGTTGGGCTGCTCGCTGTGGATAATGACAGTGGAGAGAGATTTATTCAGACCCTGAAACCTCTGCTCTCCCAGAAAGGCATTTGCTTGGCCTTCTCAAAGAAAACCCCAAAAATCACATATTTGGCAGAGTATTATGATCTGCAGTCCTACTCAATCCAAATTTATCAAGCTATGATGGAAAGTAAAGCCAAAGTTGTTGTTTTCTATGGAGAAACAATCTCTACGACTGACTTGAAAGAAATGGTAACACTCGGTGAATTGGAAAATGTGACCAAGACATCTGTGGGCAAGGTGTGGATACTGACAGCACAGGTGGATTTCACAGCACTGACCTATCAAATGAACTGGGATATGCAAGTCTTCCATGGTTCCCTCTCCTTTGCGGTTCATTCAAATATGGTGCAAGGATTCAAAGCCTTTCTTGAGGTCCAAAATCCTTTTGAGGCAAATGGAAATGGCTTTGTCAAGCAGTTTTGGGAACAAGCATTTCTCTGTTTATTTCCAAACTCCAATACAGAGGAGCAGGCCAGTGGAACCTGCACTGGAGAGGAGAAACTGGAAGATATCCCTTCCTCTGGCTTTGAGATGAGCATAACGGGCCACAGCTATAGTCTCTATAATGCTGTCTATGCCACAGCACATGCTCTACATGCCATGTTCTTGTCCAGGACCAAATACAGGGCAGCGGTGGAAGGAGGGATGCAGGAGCTTCAGAAATTCCAGCCTTGGCAGGTAATTCCTTTCATGAGATACATTTTATTTGACATGGGCAATGATGTGTAAATCAGCACTCTAAAAATGTTTGAGCACTTTGTGTTGGATCAGATTCTCCCCTTGTTTGCAGAGAAGTTGCTCATGAAGGAGTAGCACAGTGTAGGATCAGACCATCCCACTTACAGCTGTTAAGCAGGAGGATCCAATCCTGCAGGGCGCTGCATTTTTGTGAGCAGCTGTCTTTGCAGAGAAATTGTTAGTGCAGGATGATCCGCTCTCGCACTGTTCTGCTCCTTCACAAGCAGCCTCTCTGCATGTAAGTTAATCAGAAGATCCGATCCTACACTGAAAGGCAGGCCCACGCAGAGAGTGGAGCAGCTGGGTACACTTGCCCTGTTCATCAAAAAGCTAAGCTGGTCACGGGGCCCTGCCAGGGCTTGCTGAATTTACACTATCATGCCAAGAACACCATGTGCATCCCAGCTGCCCCATGCCTCAGACAAGCTCTACATGGGCCTCCTGATCAGAAAAGGGGAGAGTTGGCAAGGCATGTTCTGCAACTGAGGAAAAATCTAGGGAAGAGCAAGCACAGCACCCACAGAGGTTGTCCCTGACCAGCAAAAAACAAGTAATGAAGAGGACTTAGTGAATTTCTTTAAAGCTGTTTTTTGTATCTTAGCTGAGATCATTAAGGAATGTCGTTCTTGTTGGAAATCCCGGGAAGCCAAGACCCAAGTTTTGGGTAAGGAAACCATAGAGATTTAACATGGGAAAACATGCACCGATCAAAGCACAGAAATATAGGCTGTGAAACTCTCAGATGTGCTCTTTCCAGTGAATCCCACTGAAGGTTATAATATAGTTTACTTACAAAATTCTTCAAAGGTAACATTCATGTGCTTTTCCATATAGCAGTCAGAAAAAATCTGCACAGGCAGTAAAACATAACTTGATTACAAAATGGTAATAGTTTCTAAACAATTGGTATAGAAAACACTAGTTTCATATTCCATTCTTGTCTGGAACAAAAGAGGCAGATTAAATCCATGTGACTGGAGGGAGCAGAGAATTCACACTTAGGCTGAGTAGAAACAGGATTTGTTGCCCATTTCTTCCCAAAGTGAGGGAGCCTGGCAGGACAGCTTACTCCATGGTATTAACCCCTTCATGCTGAGTATATGAGGCTGGTTGCCCTCTTGCAACAGCGGCAGATATCCAAGCAGTGTGTCCTAAAAGCCATGGATTTTTTTCCCTCATTTCTTTTTGTTTCCGGAAAGCATTGAGATTTTCTCCATAGGAAACAATAGAAATCTTCAGCGCACTAGGCAAATTCTCAGCTTACTAACCATTTATCAGGGATGGCTTACTTTCGCATAGCAGTATCTATGTGTACTGACAGTCTGGAGACATCCTGAGTGCCAGCAAGGAAAGACATTTACCGGTACATGACTTCATAGTTACTATTTTTTCTTCCAATGTAGCTCCATCCCTTCCTTAGGAGTGTCTCCTTTAACAACTCTGCTGGAGAAACGGTATATTTCAGTGAGAGCAGGGAAGTAGAAGCTGGCTTTGATATTACCAACATGGTCACTTTTCCAAATAACTCCTTCGTGAGGGTCAAGGTTGGAAGGGTGGGTGTGGAATCTGCCCCAGGCCAGCAAATTTCCATTGATGACAACAGAATGGTGTGGCACAGAAGCTTTCACCAGGTGGGGCATAACTCCTACATCCATGAGATACAGGAAAACAGAGCGTTGTTGCATTTAGAGATCATCAGTTCAGCTCATCCCTGGCTTTCAGCCTGATTCAAAACATTTCCCTTTGCAATACCTAAGAAAGTAAGATGAACTTGTGGGGTCAGGCCAATGGCCCATCTTGTCCAGCATAACACCAGTGGCCAGCCTTGGCCAGCATCTGGATATGGCATAAACATATCCTGTTGGGCTGGGGCTTTCTCTATCCCAGGGTTTTTACATGAGCCTTTTGTCAAGAATAAGGTGTTTGTTGCTCAGGTGGGAAGGAAGCAGGGGCCATGTAGGTTTGTGGGTAGCTGCCCTGTGTCACCAACCATAGAATGAGGAAAGGGGCTTCTTAGATTGTGGAAAACTCAAAACAATAAATAAGGGCAAAGGAATAAATAAAATCAGCTGTCCCCCAAGAAGACTCGCTTGGCACCTTCTCTACATATCTTTAGGTACCATGTAAAAACATTCCTATTCTCTCAGGTGGTTATTGTATTGAACTATGTATGGCCAGGGGACTCGGGTGGCGCTGTGGGTTAAACCACTGAGCCTAGGACTTGCCGATCAGAAGGTCGGCGGTTCGAATTCCCGCAACGGGGTGAGCTCCTGTTGCTCAGTCCCTGCTCCTGCCAACCTAGCAGTTCGAAAGCACGTCAATGTACAAGTAGATAAATAGGTACCTCTCCGGCGTTTCCATGGGCTGCTCTGGTTTGCCAGAAGTGGCTTAGTCATGCCAGCCACATGACCCGGAAGCTGTACGCCGGCTCCCTCGGCCAATAAAGTGAGATGAGCGCCACAACCCCAGAGTCAGTCACGACTGGACCTAATGGTCAGGGGTCCCTTTACCTATGTATGGCCAACCAGATGCCTGCTGGTAACCCACAAGCTGAACATAAATGAACACAAGACCACTCTTACACTTGTAGATCATCCTTGGCACTGCACCTCAGTCCTCTCCAAGAACCATGAGTTTTTACATGTCCTATGACTGGAGAATTGGGGGTGGAGCATGTATTACATTATGTATGGAGATACATAATGGGGGCAGAGCTGGTGAGGATGAGCCCCCAATCCACTTCCCACCTTGAGCCCTCATGCATTCCTTCTGAATGCCGAAAGGGGGCTCAGTTTTGGCATTATTTTTTAAAACCATGAAGAGCAGAATAAGTAACTTAGTGTCTTCCTGCTTCTAGCTGGAAGGAATAGGAAGCCAAAAGTGCTGCTAATTTCTGTGTGCTAAACTGTTTATGTGTTTCATTAAATGGGCAGTTTCCACCCCTTTCTGTGTGTAACCCAAATTGCCCTCCTGGTACCAGCAAGAAAAAGAAGGAGGGGGAGCCATTCTGCTGCTATGATTGTGTTCCCTGTCCTCAAGGCAAGATTTCATCCCAGAAGGGTAAGAGACACAAGATAAATACTTTTCAAACATAAGTTATATTAGAAGTTGTGGAGAAAATTAATTAAATAATTAGTATTAGGTACATTTTTGTATTTATTGTTTGTTTGGAGAATATATCACAAATTTTTAGAGAATTACACATTTTGCAGGGTAACTATATAGTGGTACCTCGGGTTAAGTACTTAATTCGTTCCGGAGTCCGTACTTAACCTGAAACTGTTCTGAACCTGAAGCACCACTTTAGCTAATGGGGCCTCCTGCTGCTGCCGTGCCGCCGGAGCACGATTTCTGTTCTCATCCTGAAGCAAAGTTCTTAACCCAAGGTACTATTTTGGGGTTAGCAGAGACTGTAACCTGAAGCGTATGTAACCTGAAGTGTATGTAACCCGAGGTACCACTGTACTGTACTTTGGTTCATGTGTTGGTTCAAGAAGTGCAATTTAGATAACTTTCCCATTCAAATAGCAACAAAATCAAATTTCTCCTCCATCCCTCTTTATAGACAGCCCCCATAATGGACACTGTCCTAAAAGGAAAATGTTTGTTACGCATCTTCCCGTCGAAAGGTTCTTTCGGTGTTTAGTCAGAATCTCATTTCTTGTAATGTGAAAAAAGGAGATATCTGTGATATTTCTAATTTAACCTTAAGAGTACCATACTAGCAGCTTAGTAGTCACTCTCCAACACATCTGAAATAATAATACATTACTTTCTTTCCAGACATGGTTGACTGTACTGCATGCCCAAAGGACCACTATCCACACAGAGACCAATCACAATGCATTCCAAAGACCATCAGCTTCCTGTCTTTTAAAGAGCCTCTGGGGATGAGCTTAGCATTGTTGGCTCTTTCTCTCTCTCTCCTCACACTGGTGGTCCTAGTCATCTTCATTAAACATCAGGACACACCACTTGTCAGAGCAAACAATCGGGACCTCACCTACACTCTCCTCACTTTCCTCCTGCTCTGCTTCCTCTGCCCATTGATCTTCCTCAGCCCTCCAGAAAGAGTGAGCTGCCTGCTCCGACAAATGGCTTTTGGCCTTGTTTTCACAGTGACCGTTTCTTGTGTTCTGGCCAAAACGATCACGGTGGTTCTGGCCTTTGTGGCCACCAAACCAGGATCCAGAATGAGGAAGTGGGTGGGGAAAAGACTGGCAAGCTCCATTGTGATTTCTTGTTCCCTTATCCAAGCAGGCATTTGCACTGTGTGGTTAGGAACATCTCCCCCATTCCCTGATTCTGACATGCACTCTGTGATAAGGGAAATCATTCTAGCCTGTAACGAAGGATCGGTTGCCCTGTTTTACTGTGTCCTGGGCTACATGGGCTTTTTGGCCATTATCAGCTTTGTTGTGGCCTTTTTTGCCAGGAAACTGCCTGAGAGCTTCAATGAGGCCAAATTCATCACCTTCAGCATGTTCCTGTTTTGTAGTGTTTGGATCTCCTTTGTTCCAGTGTACCTGGGCACCAAGGGGAAATATATGGTGGCTGTGGAGATCTTCTCCATCTTGGCCTCCAGTGCTGGCTTACTGGGCTCCATCTTTTTCCCCAAATGCTACATCATTGTGTTGAGGCCTGAACTGAACAGCAAGGAGTGCTTAATAAAGAGGAAATAGCAAATGAGCATATTCTCTCTGTTTTTTGTTCTATGAAAATATGGGCACCTGCATCATATAATTACCTTGCATTTTATGGCAGGTATCCTTTGGAAATCTATATTTAAACATTTGGCTATGTGTCCTTTGTTACATCTGAATCAAGAAACTCTTTTGGATATAGTTTTTGTTTTGGACTTACAGGTCTTATAGGTGGGACATATAGCTTGAGTCACTGGATTCTCCTTTCATCACATTGTATAAAGAGAAGAACATCAATATATTTATATATAATGATGGAAGAAAAACACCCAAAATAATAAATTGTCTTCAAAAATCGCCAACAGAAGAAAATGCCTGCTCACTTTGAGAAGGGGTAGAAGGAGCGGTTATCCTCCATGAACTTAGAATAACAAAATGAACACTAGACGATAAGAATTTCTAGCTTGTTTGTTTAGAATCACAAGGATTGCTTGCTCAAGCTATAAGGCCCATGTTTAGAAGCTTGGAACATCTAGCTCAGACATACTTTCTTGTTGGGGGGAAAATAATGAGTTTGTTAACCCTTCCTTTCCTGGAACAGGCAATCTTGCCCTGTTTCTGAGACATTTATCTACAGAATGCTTTCATTCCCAGCAGTAGCTGGAGGAGGCAGCAGCTGTAGTGGGAGGGGGAAAAGAAAGCATCATGCATCAAGTGCTTGTTCTAGAATCAAGGTGACCTCTGTAAATATCAGGGTTCTCCTGGACTGTCGGTATTTTTGAGCTGAATACAATCACATATCAGCAAATTCAGGTTCTGCAGTTAAAGCTGACTTGGAAAGTGTGGGATAATGTGTGCAACACCCTCTAACCACCTGACAAATGAATCAGAATGAACAGCTGGCATTGTCCAACCACCCCACAAACTTTGTAGAAACCCATTGGAGTGAATATTCAAATAGACTATCTGGTGATGCCCTCAAAGCAATATTGGGTTGCTGGCTTCTCATTCTTTTGTACTGTTAACAAAAAGATCAAGTAAACAGTGAACTGTGCACATTTTATGCAGTGAAATTGTTCACTATTTGTAACAGTTAATGTGCCATGGACATAATCTAGGAAGAGTTAGTCTTGGCTAAAGCTCATTTAAAGTTATGGAATATGACCTGGGCTACAATTCTGAGACTGCTTTCTTGGCAATAAGTTGCACTGAAAGAACTTTTGAATAAATAAGTTTTCAGCTGAGCTGCGGCTTTTATTAATATCCAGTCTTATTGATTTCTGGTATGTGTGTTTACCTAAAATTCAGTGGATAACAACATTGGTCTTTTTACCAGGCTTGTTTTTATAAGATGGGATGGGATGTGTGTGAATGAACAGTTTGAAGAAAGAACATGTTGAACATGAGTGAAATTCAGCTCCGTTTTATTAAGAAATACAATACTACCACACTTTATTTGAAAAAATGTCAAACAATAAGATTGGTAAATAAAAATTAGAATTATATTCCATGACCTGCTTTGGATACTGAATACACCTGGGCAATTGTAAAGTTTCATCTTGATACCTCAAGGATGTCTGGCTATTTGCTATTTAATTTTTATTTATTACATTTATATATTGCCTCCCCAACGAGTTCTCTGTATGATTTACATAGATACAGTCCTCCAGGCAGTCTGCATATCTGAGGTTCTATCAGAAACATGAATAGTGCAATTTGCAACACAATCCTTCATTTTGGCAGGAAAAACCAGAAATTTTTTGGGGGGTGGGTGGGGGGAAATACCTGGATATTCTCATACGAACCATAGGATGAACACTGCAGTTTAGTTATGTGCCAGTATGGTGTAATGGACAGACTATTGGATTTGGATCAGGGAGTTCTGTGTTAAAATCATTGCTTTAAAAAAAAAAAAAGAATGCAGAGGGAAAACAAAGGCGGCCACAACCAATATCATGAAATAGGTGGCATATATTGCTTGGATATTTTGATCTTTCAGCCATCATTTGGCAAGAGGGCTGTGTCTCCAAGTGAAGCTCACAGCTGTTTCTTCTATTTCCAGAACCTTTGCTCAGCCATAAAGC